TTTAAATTAACCATTTTGTGATGTAGGAGGGAGAGGTCCAGAGGTCTCCTAGGCCGTTTTAAGTCCATCAGTCAACGTCTAAGCATTTCTTCTCTCAAATCACGCTCATTGTCAAAAAAAGTTATTAACTTTAGATTTGGTGATTCTAATGTTATTACCTCTGGAGCGCTTGGCTATAGACAAGGTGTTTATAGTCTGAAGATAACCATTATTTAAAGTTCTTAAACATGAAATGCCAAAGCAAATGTACTCAAGAGCATAAAGGCCAATGGTAATAGGCCTGCTGCATAATATTTGTTACTTAATGATGTCATATTTTACGGAATAATAACATGGCATATTAAACCAGTTTTTGAACTTATTTTGAAAATAATAATTTCCTAGTAGTTCATTTGATGGAGAAGACAGTGAACTTTTGTTTATTTCATCTGCATAGGTCCGGTAATAAAATATGAACTATAAACCAGGTCAAAACATCTGCAATCTGACAGATAAAACAATTCTACCATAAAATACTGACCTGTAGTCCAGATCAATTTTAAATGATGTAATGTCACATGAACACAACCAGTGGGATGATGAACATATAAAACCACAGAAATGTAGATATGCATATAGAAATGTACATTGACAACAGTGGTGATGTGACCTCTGCTACGACATGTTGCTAATATGAATCCAAGAGCACCCATCAATCACTTAGTATGCAAAAGCCTGCACTTGACAAGTAATGATATATAGCAGCTGCTGAGGAATTCAATGCAATTTATCCTTTCTGTCACCAGGGAGGTTTAATTATCACCTTCTAAGTGATGGTTAAGACAGAGTTAATAGTAGGTAAAGGTCACACGAATGTCACTTATATATAGTGTATTCATTAGTGATGCAACAGTAGTGGTAGTGATGACAACAGATCATAGAAAGCTCAAACTAAAAAAAGACTGATGGTACTACTGTGGTATCATTTCAGCTGAAAGGCCAATAAGGAGAAAAAAGTGCATACTATAAGAGTGGTTTGATATGGTAAATGGGTAAATGGTTACATTTATATATAATGCTTTTCCACATTCAAAGTTCTCAAAGCACTTTACATCAAGGAACCATTTCTCCATTCACACACACATTCATACAAAAGCGTACACAGACATTGGGAGCAAGGTGTCTATCTCTGGGAGCTGGAATTGTATCGCAAAATTGTGCGTCAGTGGATATGAACACTCCACCAATGATGTTTATGTTGAGAGCTGAATTCAAACCGCCAACCTTCAGATCAGTAAAAAAAAAACACTAATATAAGAATTTAGAAATAAAACAAAATCCCAGAGTAGAAACATATCAAAACTTAAATGTATTTATACTTTTTTTTTTTGCTAATGTTCATACTCAGTTAGACCTGATTGATTGGTGATATGTTGTTGGACTCTTTCGTGTTGTTAATGGTCTCTTAATGAGCAAAGTTCTGTCAAACAAGTGTATCAATCTGAATGCGATGATCATAGGGAATCAATTTTTTCCATTTCCTCCATCGACTCACGGGTCAATGTAATTAAAAACATACATAACATTAACCATCTCATATTGATGCCATTTCACTAAACCATCAAGGGAGGATTTAACATTCACCAGCCATCTAACAGCCAAGACCTTTTTGGACCAAACTGATGTATTTTTATAGTTCTGCTGCATCTGTAGGTGACATCTTCACTCCAAAGCACAAGGGGAGCCGCATCTTGTTTCATCTGATCGGAGGGCACGGGTGAAGGTGTGGTGTTGGGCCAGTTTATGGAGGGACTTGTACTTTTATGTCAGCCCGACTAGTGGCAAAATGAAAGCTGTTGGTTTGCAAACAACAAAGCTATAATCATCTGTCAAAACACCACGTATTCTATTAAATCCATCAGTCTCTCCTTTTACTGCCTCATTGAGACAAGGTTTATCTATTGGATCACTCACTCACTTCTGTGTCTAAATCCTTTATTGCTTTAGAGCCGTGAAGTTGCACAAAAACTCACTGCAGCAGAACAAAGACACAATCTGAAGTTATAGAATATTAATGATGCAAAGACACACACACACACACACAGTCTTGGCTGTTCAATATTTCTTTTCAAAATTCCCTAGTGCTTCTTTGTGACATTTTTTATTATATGTAAATTATTCATATGGATGTATTGTGCCCTAGCTCACTCATTTATTCTGTGGACATTTTATCTTCAGGGGACAATTGACTGACTGGATATCCTTGATTAATTCATGTCCCAAAAATCAATGCCTGTTATATAACCATGTATTAGTTACATTTGTAAACCTGAACATTAACCCCTCTAACACAGAACGTTGAATGAAATTAACTGTAAGTAGGAAACAGGCAAGACAAATGACGCTCGTGTAAGACTCACTGCTTTCCGATTTGATAATCATCTCGAGAACCAAAACACCAAATAACAACTTGGCCATCGCATCCAGTGTTTTTGTAATTAAGCATAAATCAGCATTACAAGCAGCATTACAAGTACAAGCTTTTTGATTTGAACATATCTCATGTCTCTCGCTCATATCAGGGACATAGTTAGTTACGTTCATGGAATTCAAAATAAAAATGTTATATACGATTCCTTCAAGTACTACACATTTATCAACAATCTATCATGATGAAAGAGACTGGGAAAAGATAGAACATTCTGACAAATATCTGAAGCCGACTGGACAAAAAAAAAAAAAAACGGAAAAAACGGAACAAGCAGTGAAATAAAACTTGTTAAAGAACACATACTATGCATGCTCGTGGCTTTAATTTCCTTCTAAACATGCCTGTGGTGACTTTGGCATTAGTATTTCATAGTTTCTAACTTTAAATAATGCCTCCAAATGGAAAATGTACTTTAATTTCATATTTTGGTGTTGGAGTTCCCTCTACTGTCTGAAGGGAATGAACTCAAATGAAGTCCTTATCTCCCTTGAAGGTCGTGATGATATGCTCTTTTGTACCCCACCCTACCCCTTCAAAATGTAGGCTAAGTAAAAAATTGATTCCATTGAAAAATCTAATTTAAACTCTCTAGTATTTTACATATTTTAAGATTTTAAAATAAGCAAACAGTTTGTTTTAGTCATAGAAGTACAGTTACAAAACCCAATACTATCTAGATACAAATGCACAAGCTAGAGAAATGGATAAAATGGATGACTCAAACATATCCAGTCTGTCTTTAAAGAAAAAGATAGATGTGAATTATAAAAATGCAATTTGTGAGGCTTTTGAGCTGGCTAAGAAACACGGCTTACCAGCAAAACGTGTAGATGTGAAGACCGAGGGCCCCATCCATCAGGCTACCTTCACCTTTGAAATATTGAATGGTGATTTCAAAGAACAAGCCCAAAGACCAAACAGGGCCATAGCTAAAAATTTGACTGCTCAAAAAATTCCACCAGTCCTTCATAGTCTCCCCCTCCCACAGGAGGTGGAAGTGCCCGGATACTGTCAAGAAAGAAAGAAACACAAACAAGGTCTCTGGAAAGAACTACCCATGTTCAAGCCAGACAAAAGCCCAATAGAATTCCTTGAAATACTAGTGACGAACTGGAAAGGGAAGCCTGCAGAATACATTGTTTTCTGTCCAACTAATAGTGGCACAGAAATCCAAGGTGGGAATAGGCAAAGACAAGCAAGAAGCGAAAAGGAATACTGCAGCTAAAATGCTTAACTCATTCGGATACAACATCCCTTTTACTGAGCCAAAGAACAAAAACCATGGGAAAGGCCACTGGTTGACATAGCTCCAGAGACCCAGGATCTTTTTTTCCAAGCAGGATTCCCAGACTAAAGAACCCCCAAAGGAAGAAGAATGACTGTTCCTCAATTTAACTCCACTCAGATAGAAGTGGAGACCCAGCCCCAGTAGAGGATCAAGAGAGGTCTGTAGAAGTTACATCTACTGACGAAGCTACCACAGCCTTTCCCACTACAGTTGCTGCATCCAGATGTGGTACCTCTTTTGGCTGGCATGGGAATAGTTCAGAAAAGCCAAGATGAAGTCCAGTGGTGCGAGCCATCTGCAAAACTAGAGTATCTCTAAACAACTTGTGGTACAGAGGAGGCTGCATCTAAAGACTTAACAGGAATTTGTGGTAGTGGAAACCCTGATGCTGTCGTGGAAACAGCACAGATTCTGGAGGAAACTGAATAGGAAATGTCCCTGGATGTTTCATTTGAAAATGCAGCAAGTGTTTTCATGGTCTAGACACCAGATGTGGCAATACAACATGTATTTGAAGTAACCCAGGATTTGAGATACTTAGCGTACCTGCCTGTGTCCCTGCCTGTCCATGTCCCTGTCTGTCTGTGTTTCTGCCTGCCTGTGTCCAGAGCTTGCCCAGAGGTCTGGGCGTTTGGTCGGACTAGCGTTGCTCCATGGCGGGCTATCGACAGTCAGCGCGGTTGGTGTGGCACTTTGTCCCCAGCATGCCCCAGTTTCACAGAGCGGCCAATAACACTGCCCGTAGACCTCGTCTGTACACAGAGACAACAGGGTGTGAGAGAGTGAGGGAGGGAGAAGGTTTACAGGGATTTTAAACAATAAGCACTGCCCCTTTCCAGCTGCCAATTACTTAACCATTGCCCCACACCAAACAGGGAAAAAAAATCACAAAGAGAAAAACCACACCCATTTAAAGCAACAGAGGAATGATACTCGGTTACCCCTGTGACATACCAAAATGACATCAAGCTGTTTTTGTACAGTTCTCATCAATCCCCACCCACTTAGTGTATTTGTGTATTTACACTCTTGATAATGTGCCGTGACAGTGAACTAAAATAATTAAAACCAACCAAAGGCAATTTCATTGTTTTATTGGCTGCTGAAATAAAAATCTGGCTCTTAACCTAATGACCTGAATAACACAGACTTTATAACACAAGAGTCCTGCTGGTTTCTGAAGGCAGAAAAGTAAAAAAAAAAAATCTAATGCCCAGACTATGTCTCTTTAACACCATTTAATGGGACACCGAGATTATTGATCACTAGCAGGCCCAGGGATAAAAATTCTGTTTCCGAAATCTCTTGATATCGATTCCACAAAAAAGGCAACTTTAGTTACCTTTAATGTGCTAATCACAGCAGAAATCCTTTTTAATAAGTCAACTGAACGCAGCACTTTGTCACCAGAGGGCAGCTGTCTCTCACTCAGGGTTTTAGGCACCGTTTATTGTGGTTAGAAAAACACACCATCCACAACTGATTCATCTGCATTTAAATAATGAGGTGTGAATAGAAACTTTTACTACACTTATTAGCTTAAAAGCCAATCAGTTCACAGATCAGGGCTGTGCAGTCCTCTCTCCACGAGAGAACCAGTCTGTCCAGTGTTTTTATGATCTTAGAACAGCCTCTCCTTTATAATGAAACTACCTTCTCCTTGGTTGTCACTCAGTGTGCAGACTGAATTGAGTTTTCATGTCAAAGACAGGCCACTGGGCTAGTTCTAATTAGAGAGATATTCAGTGTTGCCATTTCTGCTCTAAATGTCTATGGGGTTTTTGTCGCGCTAAAATCAATAAATTCTGACAGATCAGGCAGTGGGTGGGGAACTGTGGGGGGATGTCACTCACAACATGTTAAACACAACAAATGAGGAGAAAACTTAAGCAGAGAACACTTCTGTTTTTAGACGGATTTTCTAAGGCTAATTTTAAATAATGAAACAGACTGCAACTACAAATATATATCGATTAGTCTTTACTACAAATAAAACTTTATGTTTTCATTTTTAATACTCATTTAAAAAGTTTATAAGTTAGCATCAGCATTGAAAGTAGCTGTGAGCCATCATGCACAGCGCCTACACGAGATCAAAACACTGCAGATTAGTGAAAACTAGCAGCCATGTTAACAGCTCCTCAGACATGGACTCTGCACCTGGGGTAGCTTACTGTATAACACAGCAATGGCCTTTCTGAATAAGTATTAAAACAGACAGATTAAATGCAAAATGTAAATATGAATCAACGGTGATTTATTTTTAATTCTAAATCTCTGACATCCCTGTTGTTAAACACCATGAGATGAACGTGTTTTGGTGACAGCTAATCAGAGTTTATCACATTATTTAGCAATTGTCATTATTGTTAACATGGTAAGCCCACAGAAATGAGATGTACAGAGTAAAAATAGCCCTATGATATGATTAAGATTATTATCATGTAGGCAATGATGGATGAAAAACATGCTAAATATGTAGAGGGAGTAAGGCACATGATTAGAGAAGCTTTATCTCATGTTCTCCCACAGAACAGCCATGTGTGTCAGAAACAACACTGTCAGTGCTACAGTATACAATACACACAGTTGTAAAGTTCACATTATTTTGCACATTGACATAGAATTCAATAAAAGCACAAAGGAGGCCAGTTATCTGGTAAAATGTCCATTACATGATTGAGTATTTTCAATATAAAAAACAGTGAAACATTTTAAATGTGGCTATTTTTGTAAACCTTTGCAGTTTTGTAAAGTCTTGAAAGTGTACAGTAAATGTAATTGCATTATTGTTACGACCCTGCTCTGCTAGGGACAGGGGAAGTAAAAATGATAAAACTAAAGTTGTCATTTATTTAAAAGGAATGTAGAAGTAAAACTAACAAACGATGATATTTACAAGGCTTAACAAAAAGAGACTCTAAACAGAGTAATTAAATGTATAACTAAAAGTGACAGAATTAAATTGTACAATTTATATTAACACAAAAACAACAGAACAAACCAGTCGCTTCAAAGACAGAAGGACTACTAGTTTCTCAAACACCAAGTTAACAAAAGCTACACACAGAACAGCAGCTGTGATTGGCAGGGGGCAGATCCTTTTACACCAATACACCAATCAGCAGGAGGAGACAAGGTGCCAGCTTGAAGTGAATCCACCAATCACCTCCACCAATCACCGAAGAGGTCTGGTAGACGGAGGCTTGTGGCCTGTGGCCTGTGGCCGTAAAAATTAGGATCATTAGTTAGATCATAACTGATTAGATATTTGATTTCCTGACTTCAAAAAGTGGGTGGGACTGTTGAGCTCCACATGAATGCTCCAGCAGGTGATTGGTTGAAAGCCAAAGGCTCTGAATGGCTGACAGGTACGATCACTGAGATACTGTACTAAACTGGTAAGTAAATGTTATCTTGAATAGATGTCACATTGTCTGACCATTTTTTGCTTTTAAAAAGATCTAAAATATAACACTAAGACTGACTGTATTGTAGGGAAATTCCATAAAGCGAGCTTTCTTCTTTTACCTTTAATTTTCTACCAGTCCCACACTGAGTGTATTTTCAGTCATAAAACTCAGGGGGGCGCTGTTTGTAGCAGTAGAGCTACAGCTCTTATAGTTCCCAATGACAATAAAAATATAAAATCATGATTCCAAAATTGTGAATAAATTGCACAATTTATTATGTTTCTAATTATTGTTTTTGTGGACACAATCTTGTGTGTCGTCTTGTCTTGTCGTGTCTCATCCCTTCTTTTACTAGCTATAATATTGCCTTTATTAGTGTCCGTATTTTGACTAACAAAGCTCTACAACATTATGTATTCTACGAATATCTCACAGTCCTTTCATTCCAAGCCATATCGATTTAAAAAGCGAAAGCCTGCTGGTTGCATTCTTCTGTCCCAGGGCTAGCAAGTGCACAGTGGGGTATCCATCAATTTGAGAAAAGAAGGACTTACCATACACTGCCATATATGTGCATGTCTATCAGTCTGGAGCTAATGTCACGCTGCTTTGAAATAATGCCTTCCAGATCGACTTCTCGCACTGTGGCTCCTATAGTATATAACGCAAATATCAGGCTACAGTGAGCCGCATGAACTCCCGCGGGGCTGAGAGAGAAAGAGCGCAGAGACCTCCAGGGTTTAATGTAGAAGAAAATGAGCCTTCTTGTTAAATAATGGAAAGAAAATAGAGAGTTTGGAAAATGTCAATGGAGCTACCCCAGACCGGTCAGGCTGACATCAAATCTGTAGAGAGTTTGGATTTTTATGGGGGTGGTGGTTGGGCACACTTTTGCATTTGTTTTTCTTCTGTAATTTCATGGTTATTTGCATTGTAGATTCTCACTGAAGGCCTATGAATGGACACATATGGATCGCAAAACAAAAATAAACTTTAAAATAAACTTAAAATAACTCTTTAAAATACAAATCTTTACTTTACTTTAGCTCATCTAGAGAAGGCCAAGTGTTTGCAGTGTTGTCAACAAATCAAAGGACAGCTTCTTTGAGGAAACTAAATATAAAATTAGACTTATTTAACTTTTTTTCCACATATCTTGCATCATAAATTCGATGTCTTCTATATGCAGGCCCGTCAACAGAAATTTGGGGGTCCGGGGCAAAAAGCCAAACATGGGCCCCCCTTTAATATAAATTAATAGAAAGACGGTCAAATCTTGGGCCCCTAAAACCTACCTAAAATGTAAAAAAAAAAAAGGAAAAAAAAAGTTAACCTAACATAAAATAAATAAATAAACAACACAGAATAAAAGGATGTGTCTAAACTTTTGATGAGTAAAGTCATTCGTTATTTTCTTATAAATGAAAAATATGCCTGATTTATACTGTCTTAAAAATGTGACAAACAGAACTATTTCATTTTAAATTGTTTGAAGTGGTCTAAAATTATTCCTCACTTATTTTATGCATTCCCAGCATCCAAGTTATTCACCAAGACAAGTTTCTGAGTGCTTTTCATAACTTTCAGAGGCCAGAGTGCAGTTTTGCCTTCACAGTAATGCTAAATGCCCACTTTCAGATTCTAGAAGAGAATTTTGCTCAGATACATAGAGTCTAAACAGACTTTTGTGTATTTATTCGTTCAAGGTCACCACAACAAAGAGCCAGTTTATGTAGTTATTTATTTAAATATTGTAAGTATACATCACGCCACAAAATCTCAGAAATGTGAAGAAAACAGATTGTTAAAGGGCCCATATTAAGCAATTTTTTAAATCAGTTTTAATGTCGTTTCCTCATCAAAAACAGACCTGGCTTTGTGTTTTGTTTCATTTTTCTCACGCTCTTCCACCTTGTTTTTAAAATCCATACACCTTCACTAAAATCAAATGGTAAAAGGTAGCATGGAAACTACCACTTCATGACATCACAAGGTGGAACAGAGCATTTTGAGTTGTGGCGGTGCAGACAGCTTAAAGGTTGTATAGAGGTTTTTTTTAAAGGGAAAAGAAATACAGCGACAGTCCTTTTTCAAATGTTGTGCATGCGTGATACCACCTTCCTCCTCCACAGCTCCCTCAGTAGAAACACCTCCTCCCACCTCCTTACTCTAGAAATCATGCTTGTTTACAGCCAGTGCGCGTTCAGAATTACTGTTGAAGTGACCTGTCTAGAAACAATTTAGCGACCGACATGTCTGCTTCATTCGAGCAATTTCTGGAAGGAATCTCCAAGAATCACGTGTTTGCCTTTGCTCCTTTTCTCCTTCTCTTCTTCTTTCTTTTGTGGCGAACTGGTTGTGCATTCTCGTCCACCATCTCAACAAACTTTGTGCGAACTGCAAGGAAACTACAGTTTAAAAAAGCCTCTAAGAACCACTCTATAAACCACATAATCCCTGCATGCCTGCGAGTCAGTTACACTAGAAATGTAGGGGGTTTGATTGACAACCTAACAGCCAATAGAAAATGAGGTAGCCTTGTGATCTATTGGCTGATGTTTATCTGCCCTCACTATGTCCACAGATGATAGAGTTTCATTCTTTTTTTTTTTAGTCAACATAATTACAAGGCTGCTGCATCTCTGTAAGGGTATTTTCAACTTTCATTGACAATTTGAATCTAAAAAAATATCCTCCATACAACCTTTAATAATGCAGAGTTACTCAAATATATAGTATGTGAATGAAACAAAACACAACTCCAGGTATGTTTTTCGAGGAGGAAACAACAATCTAACATGGCTAAAATCTCACAAGAGTACATTTAACGTAATATCAGAACTTTAATCCCAGTAGTTCATGGTTAATATCTCTGTAATTACAGGGCTTATCCACATGAAACAAAAAAATGAGTTCTCTGTCAGTGTAATGTTTTTTTTTTTTGGTTGTTTTTCCAGTTTCAG